TGTCCCTCTCCTGTGTTCCTTTGCGCTTGGCGTTGCGGGGGTGTGGGGAGGGGGTTAACAGAGAGCATTTGTTACTGTTCTGGGGGTGGCCCTGACCCCAGACCGTGGCACTTACACTGCCAGCCTCCTTCAAACAAAACTGAAGAAGGGAGCAGGCTGGGCTTGAGGAGCACCTGTGAGGAACTGTCCAGGAATACAGACATGTCACGAGTCAGTATGGAAAAGTTTCTTCTCTCCAGTGTGGCTGAATAAATATGTAGTCAGCAGAGCTCTACCAGCTAAAAAGGTTGATTCACAGGCTGTGTCATCTGACAAAAGATTTCTTCTGAGTTCCATGGGAAGAAGTACCCAAAAAAACAATAATGACACAGGAAGTCTCCTTCCACAAAGTATCTGCAACTGAGCTGATTGGAGTACTTCCCACCTTTAAATTAATAAATATTAAAACTAAGCAGGCTTATAGAAAGGAAGAGTGGAAAAGGACTTTTAAAATCACATCTCATCTTACTACAGACCAGAGCCACACTGCTGGAGATAGCTGTAAAAAAAATCAGTGAGTCTATGGATCGCTCATGAAGTCAAGCACAATTAAAACCAATAAATAAATAAACAGATATAGGAAGATCTCAGTTTAGCTTGGAATGCAATTTTGTTTAAATTTTAATCTTCCCATGATCTGCAGTCTTTCTGTTTTGTATGACACAGGCTCCAACGAAGGAAAAAATAAAGTCTGGAGGGATTTGCTGTGTGCCACAATACTGCTAATGACTGCTAATGAAATCAATATTATTGACTACACTAAAACATCTCCATTGCCAAGCCAATAAACTTGAAAAGGAGAAAACAAATGAAATAAAATGTCTGGTGTTCTTTCCAAATGGTAATTACAGACAATTTTAGTTCCCACATCCAGTGATACATTTTATTAACTTGTATCCAAACAAAACCAAACATACTAGCTCTCCACATCTTCCACTGCATTGAGCTTCAAGAGGCTTCTCCAGCTTGTTTTAATTTAAAAACAATTGAACTCTTATTAGCAAAAGGTCATAATAATTTAGGATTTGCTCCATAAAATCTCCTGGGGCATGGGGATCCTGAGTGCAGCAACAAGGCCGGAGTAGTACTGCCCCCTCCTCTCTCTCCCTGGCCAACACAGAAGCACAGTGCCTCAATGCTGCCCCAGATTGTTCTGTCCTGTGCCCTCTGGCACCTCATGGAGTGTCCACCCCTCCTAACCTCAGCTGTCAGCTCTGCTCAGTACCCCAACATCTCTGTGGCCACAGTGGCCAGAGTACAAACAGCACTCTGTGAGGCAGATCCTGCCCAAAGGACAAGCTCTGTGCAGTTGCCACCTTCTCCCTGAAGGAGACCAGGCACAGCTGCTTGAGCAGTAAATGCCACCAGGACAGCCAACCACCTCCTGCTGGGACTCTGCTCTCCAGATAATGCCTCCACAGGAGAAGAAAGAGAAAAAAGCTGAACACAACCTCACCACCTGCTCATGACCTGGTACAGATCCAAGTGCTGCCCATGCTTTCAATACTAGTTTCACTCATTTCACTCTGAGGGCAATGAGGACAACAAGAACACAATCAGGCTCCCATAACTGTTAGGTCCCATTTTTCCTTTCCTAGCTCATATTACCCACTTTGTTTAATGAGGCAGCACTCAGTCGTCCATCTGTGGTGTAAAGAGTAAAATGTGCTCACAGCCTTACCGTGCAGAATACCCCACGCCCAGAGGCTTTCTCTTCTGCCTCCGGGGATCTCTCACTTGCTGGCTGCCAGAGGGATGGCCATTCACCGAAGATTTCCGATGCTTTGTCTTCTGAGGGGATCGTCCCTCTCCATTCTTCTCCTCTCCCGTGTTGCCACTCCTTCTTCCTCTAAATGGGACATCCACCAAGCCCCGGCATTGACTCAGTGCTTTCTCCCAAGCAGCGGTGGAGTCTACACCTTCAGGCGTAGCAGGGAGGCTGGTGAACCCCAGCAGATGGAGGAACAGAGCCACTGAGACCTGGGCATCCCTAGCAGCATAGAGAACCTGCAGAAAAATGTAAACGACAAGATATGACAAACAACAACCACTCCCAAACATCAGCCTTTAACACTTGGTACAGTAAAGCCAGAAGCTGGATTTATTTCCTTTTGAAGTTAAGGCAAAGTTCTGGCAGTTGAGTGACACTTTTCTAAAATCACCACATTCCCAAATTTAGGGTCAGTCAGACTTGAAATACTCATGGATGCCCCCAGGAACTTCAAGGGGCTGAAAAATATTCAGGTCAGGCAGGCCTCCTGTCCCACCAAGCCCTCCCTAACTAATCAAAACTGCTTTTCGACCTCTTGTCCCCGACTATTCGATGTGATTATTTATCCTGACACTCCCTCTACTGGTCACTGATTTTGTAGACGCCTGCAGCACGACTAAAGAAAGTAATCACAGAAATCATAATGTCAAAGATGGTGAACGTGGTCTCCAAGGTCCCTCTCTAATCTTGCACTGACTGCTACAGATTGGAGGAAAGAAAATAATAAAAAGGAGAGATTTTGGGTGTACAAACACTTCTTCAAGGGATCTTGCCTCAAAGATCTTTCAAGACTAAAGGAAAACAAGGGTCAATAGTCCAGGGAAAATGGCAGAAAAATATCTTCACAGAAAAGGAGGGAAATGCAGGCACAGAGTCTGAAATGAACTTCAGACCATAGTTACATGTGAGGTGTTGAGGCAGAGCTTGCAGAAGGCTCAGGTCACCCTGTTGTAGTGCCTCCTCTCTACTAAGGAAGGTTGCTTTCAGTCCCAAAACACAGTTGAAGTGGAAGACACACCTGATCTTGTGTCAGTTCTTCTGCCTCCCAGTTGCTGCAACGCACGTGAGGAGACTTGTCAAGCGGGCAGTTCAGGACTTTTTCAGCTAAAGACTTAAGGCTAAGGCAGTTGTGAAGTAGAGCCTTCCTTCAGTTTAAAAAAGAAAGTGAAACAAACATATTAAAAACAAAACCACACACCCATGCAAATTCAGATGGCCTCACACGCCCTGAACCTGCCAGAAGACAATGCACATGATACAGGATTCCCACTCAAACAGCACACAGCTGCCTGTCAGCTGCACAGCCCCTCTCTCTCCCCTCTGCTAAAATCTCCTTTCTAGATTTAGTAATTATCTACTGCCTGCGATATGCAAAACAGGCAAGGCTGGCAGTTGGCAACGTTTAAGGCTGAAGTGTTTGGCTCTGAACTACCTCCTTCCAAAATAAAGAGGTCTATCCTAGAGTGACAGACCAGCAATTCATGAGGAGCATGACAGCCAGGAACAACTCAGAGGAATCCTGGCCACTAGAGACAAGAGGTCCATCCTCAGTGCTAAAAAGGCACCATCAGGTCAGCAAACCCACGCCCCAGATCACTAACAACACGCTCAAGCATACAGATACTCTACATGAAGAGTGTTCTAAAGTAAAACATTTTATTTTAGGAAGAATGAAGGATGAGAAAAAGGCATCATAACTGTAATCTTTCAATGGAAGTACTGTCATTAACAGAGAGAAAATCAGAGCTGGTTTATTTGGTTCTTTTTCAAGAAATCCTGTAATTCAACAGTTCTACTTACGTGTCCCTGGCATGCAGCTGGTGATGCCCATCCTCTAAAATCCCCCCTGAGAACTCCAGAACTATCTGCCTGGTATTATTCAGCATATGCAAATTACTTTAAAAAGTATTTTCCAGCTCCAGTGATGCCTCAAACAGAGCTGCCTCTGTCTTCAGACACTCACCGCTGTCTCATGGCTAAGTACCGGAGATCCACGCTCCCTTTGACTGGAAGACCATAATCGTGAAGCAACCTGCAAGCATCTTCATAGCATCCTACCCCAACTTTCAACACAGCACTATCTGCCATGATGTCCAACAGGGTCTTTGGGACAGTGTGGCCACTGGCAACAAGCCTGAGCAATCGAACAAGAACGCAGAGGCCACTGGAAGAAGCCATCTGCAGGAGGGATACGGGATTTGCTTTTCCCTCCACAGATACCTGAAACAAGGACAAAAAGCAGAGTCTGGGTTACACTATCATTAGCAATATTGGAGCTAGAACAAACTGCAAAACAGGACACTGAAGACATGAAAAACCTATCAATTTATACAGTCAAGTATTGTCACATGCCTCCAAAATTTTACTGCAAATGATGTGCTCTATTTCACAGGATTACTGTCCCCAAGCTACTTCTTGCCACACTCCTACAAGAGAAACTTTCCCCCTTTCACCCTTCCCCCTCATAGCTGAGCTGGGAGAAGAAATCAGACCATCAGAGGAGAAATTTCGTAAACCACATCAGCACAAAGCCACCCTCTACCTAAATGTTCATGGTAACCACATTGTTTAACTGTGGCTTGTACTAAGGACACGGTGGGTGAATAAATTTCCATCCAAAATAATGGCACAGCCAGGCTTTATAAATGACTCAAAACCTGTTTTGAGAGTTGACACGGGCAAACATAAAAGCTGAAGATGGACTTTGCTTTCTGATAGTCCCAGTGAGTTATATCTACACATCAGTATTATCCTCCTTTTTGGGTTCATTATCCTTAGGAAACTGTTTCTTAAGTATGTAGCTGGATTTAAAAGTGTAAACCCAAGCTACTTCTAGTAAATTACCTTTAAAGAGATATACAAAACACATAATGTTATTTTTAGCCATACAATTATCCCTACGTTTAGCATAGTCAATTTATCCCAGGAGTTCAGTAAACGAATACAGTGAGAGACTTAAAAACTCACAGTCAGCACGCTTAAACATGAGAACAATCAAAATTAGCAGCTACTTCACTGCTGTCGTGACAGATAGTCACACAGGCAGTTTCAATTGTCAGTCCTATTGTATCCGTTTAAGTAAAAGAATCACCCCACCCTCAGCAATTTCCCTTGCAATTTGGAATCTAAAGGAGAGGGGTTTCTGGATCACTCACCCACTCACAATCAATCCCAAGCACCGGCCACTTCTCCAGCTCCTTCTTCAGCAAGGGTTCAACACGATCCCACTCCTCCTGCTCTGAAACTATCACTATGTGCGCACCAAGGGTCCTCTCTACCCAGGGAAAGGTGGGAGATCTGGAGAAGGAAAGCACCTCCTTATCCTCTGCCTTAATCAGTTGCTCATCTCCCGAGTTTATCACCACTTCGTCTCGCTGCCTGCTACAGCATGCTTTTCCTTTCCGACGCTGGGTTGCTTTCCAGAAAATCAGGCCCCCCACTGCAACACCCAGCAGGGTCGCCAAAGTAATCGTCACCGCTGTTTGCTTGGGCATTTTTTTAAACCCCCTTTTCCCCCCTCAAAACGGCATTGTGGGATTTTATCATGGCCTGCAAAGAAAAACGAGAGAAGTGGAAATTAAAGACAACTTCGCAGAATGTGTTTAGAAGTACTAAATACACCCACTGTTATCATTGCAAGGTTCTTAGCCACAGCCCGTGCTCCTGGCAGAAGAAGGATCGAGTCCCACCTCAGGGGTCAGGGGCTGGGCTGCTGCAGTGGACTGGGCACTGACAGGAGACTCAGTGCTGCTGTTGATCCCACCACCGAAAAACTTAAAGGGAATCCATTGGTTTATACTGGGGCAACTGGATGCTTGCACAAACTCTGACATTCTAAAAGTAAACTAGGCGAGGCTATTACCAACGTCTTTTGGATCCGTTTGGAACCGTATCAACCTAAACAAGGACGAGACGAAATTACTACGAAACAAGCGTGCCCGTTCATGCGTTAGTGAATCACAGGCACTGCCCGTTCCACTCACATCCATACTAAGGCTCTTCAGACAAAAAAAAAAAAGCCCCGAAGCAGCAGCATCTACTGAGAACATCGCCCACTGCTATGACAGAGAAGCTCAGCTCCCCTCCCGCACACCGAAACCAGCCCAGCTTCCCAGCCCACCGCGTTGTTTTTAAAGGCCTGCGCTGTGACCCCAGGCACACACACAC